AGGACATGTTTTGGGAAAGGACCATAGCTTAGAGGCAAAAGCTCATAATTGGCATGCAGCAAGTTCTGGGTTCGAGACCCGTCTTCTCAGCTGAAAGGCTGAGGTAATGAGAAAGGGCCAGGGTCCATCAGAGGAGTCAACAAATACCCAGATGAGCCGAGCAGACACCGTTGGATCCTCTGGTCCTTGTCCCTCTGGGAGAACTTGCACCCAAGACACAAAGCCATCCGTGTTTGCCCGTTGTTTATTTCCCCACTCTGGAATTTGGAGTCAGTGGTCTCTTGACCACCCTGGTGGACCACCCTGTGCAGACAGGAGTTGATGGACAGGCTGAGGCTTGCTCTTAGGTAGAGGTAGATGCAGAGAAAGTTCCCTTCAGAGAGGTTGGAGAACATTCATACTTCTTGTACAATCTTGGGGGTTCCTGCCCATTTCAATGGCTTCTTTCCCCCCAGCTTCTGGCTGTGATCCCGAGGGGTTCCTAACAAATTCTGAGCCAACCAGGTGGATAAAAACGGAGTCCTCTGTTTATAATCTCCGATCCACTTGGTGGCGTTTCCCGCATGGCATCTCAGGCAGCTGGCAGTTGACCCTGGAGGTTTTGACAGTTTATTTTTGCTAATTTAAATAGGTCTACAATCAGTGACATCACACATTCCCTAGGGAACCTACTCAACAGGAGGTGGCCCCTGTTTCCCTCCCACAATTGCTGGTGTCTACTGAACATCTATTGAGAGCCAGTCTGGTATGGTGGGCCAGGGTTAAGGACTCATGAGGCTTGGGTTCAAATTCCTCCTAAGCCACGGAAACGCATTGGATGTGCGTGGCTGCAGTCAACCACTGCTTGGGCATTGACCTGCCACAAAAACACAACTACGCTTAAGGGCAAAGGTGACTTGGAGGGACGTAACAACTGAACAGGTGTGCCTAGCGTGGGGGCACATCTGCATTTCCAGCCCTCAGCTTTGGGTGGCAGGATCTTCGTTTTGCTTTATTTGTACTCTGTAATGAAAAGGTGACTAAACCTGCATAATAGCAAACTGAATTATATTGGCACATAGGCACTATTCAGATTAAATACCCTTGCACTGAGTTGCCGATTTATATATTTTGGTCTTGCTCAGCGTGAGCTTCCATGAGCTGCTTCAATACCCTATTTTTATCCTCCTTATTTCTCTTCCAGAACTACTCATAGCTTAACATTTTATGTAAGGACCTGGTTAAAGTCTTCCTTAATCGGAGTTCATGGAGTAAACTGGGAGATGTCCCAAAACAACACTTGACACACAGATTTGTCTTAAGGATGCTAGGAGGTCAAATGAGGGCAACCAACAATGAAGTTGATGGTTCCTGGATTGCTCATGCAGGGGATCCTAGACAATCAGGGAGCACTTAAGGCTATATAATTATTTTGTAACTTTTTGTTTATTTTAAGAGCCTTTTGTTGTGCCTTTTATTTGAAATGAAAATAACAAGAAAGGGAAAACCTAGCAACCGACTAAAGCAATAATAATGATATATTTTTTAAAAAACTTTAAAAATTCATAATGATAACGTAATGATGTAAACATACAGTCCACTCCATCTTAAATGGCAGAAACCTCCAGAAAATAATGATAAAAGGAAGTCCAGTTATCTGAAAATGAGAGCCAGAGAGATAAATGTTGGGATAGCAGAAGAGCCATAAATGCATTAAAATAAATATACAAAATCGGTAGGTAATTTCTCAAGACATGTATTAAAATCAGGCAAAAAGAAGGCATTTTTTCCTACATTATACTGTATTTAGATAGTTCTTTAACTGGCTCATTTATCCTCTTCTCCCAAAACTGGGACTCAAGGTAGATCGTGAAAAGTTTAACTTAAAAGGCACAGATGAAAACAGAAGATGTTATTAATATTTAAACATTTTTCAATTAAATACAATATTGACACACAACTAAATTAAAAGTCATTTAAAAGAGAATCAGTTACCTAAAGGGGTGGTGGTGGAAACACTAAAAAGGATAGCCCCCAAAAAATCCGTGAGCAGTTCTGATACAGCCAGGACCTCAAACGGCAGACCTTGGAACGCCAGTGGCTGACTGTTTTTAAAACACAAAACCTGATTTTATTTGGTTCTAATTTTTTCCTAGCTGTTGAAAGCTACAAGGCTTGGGTTTTGAAGATCACTGCAAACCACAGCCTTAAAAAAACACACACATTTAACTACTTCATTCAACGTGTGGAATATCGACTTTGTTTGAGGCTGGGTCTGGGTGTTTGTCTGGCTAATGTCTCTTTTGAGACTCACTGGCTCATGCTGTTTGCTCACGGCCCGCTATGAGGAGCTCCTTCCTCGCTCATTGTGAAAGACGTGTACCAATTTAAAAAAAACACATACACACAACACAAAACATTACAGCACATGGCTTTGTCCTGCAAAGTTCAGAGAGGACTTGACTGGTGAGCCACAGTAACCTTTGTCAAGGATAAAGATGACGAATTTCAGCTTTATTTTCTCCATTTTACAGACTGGAATGAATGTGGTTTGTCTAAGACCTACTCTTATCTTCATATTGCAGTTTGGATTTGCATTTTTGAATATTTTTTGGTTCATTTATTTGTTTATTATCTATCGGTTGAAAATATTTATATACCCTGCCTTTCTCTCCAAGAGGATCCAACAGCTTACCATGTTAAAAACAAACAATATAAAACTTGGAAGTTGTTGTTATCCTGGTTATGTGCTGTCGAGTCGCTTCCGACTCGTGGCGACCCGAGGAACGAGCGCTCTCCGAAATGTCCTGTCCTCAAATGCCCTGCTCGGCTCTTGTAAACTGAAGCCTGTGGCTTCATTTAGAGAGAGTCGATCAATCTATCTCGTATTTGGTCCTTCTTCTTTTCCTGCTGCCTTCCACCTTTCCCAGTAAAACTGGAAGGGAAGAGGGGGGAATCAAACCAACAAGGGAAAAACAGCCCGACTCTTTGCTAGCCAGTCATTGAGAAAAAGCTTAATAAATAAGTCTTTTCCATCCATTCAAACATAATTTAGTCTCTTTAGAGGCCACTCCCAGCAGGATGTATAATCTCGTTCTCTGTATTCCTGTTTGGGAAAAATCATTCTGCATCGGCTCACGCTTACCTTCAAGTCCATTTTTGTCCTTCAAAGACAAAACACCGTTTCCCTTCAGAGAAAAGCCCTTTGTACATGCAGGATGATGGTTTGCCCAGGTCTTTCTTTGAGGTTCGGTGGACATTAGCCATCCTCCCACCCTTGTTTCTGCACAGTAGCCAAATGAGATATGTTAGATAGACGATGGACGACTGGTCCATGGGCATCCTAGGGTCCCTTGTGACTGAATGGGGATTCGAACCCAGTTCTCCTTGGTTCTAGTCTGGTGCTGTCATCTTTAGGCAAAAATGGATCTGCTTTTATTAAGAGAACATCTAAAAAGAGTCCTACGTGACACACACACAAATGGATCAGCTTACATAGTGATGTTCCAGAGGGACTGATCATTAGGGGCCATTAGTCATAATAGATAAATGAAACCTTCCTATTCAGGGAAAGTATATCTGATATATGTGATTGGCGTTGGTGCAAGGATGGAAGAAAGAAAACAAAGACCTTGGGCTTCGAAACAGCTGACTGGCCATTGTTAGGGAACTGGATGATGGGCTAAATAGGCTTTTCATCTGATTCAACAAATCATTGCTGGCCATTGTCTCTAATGCCATCCAGGTGAGGATGGGGATGCTTTCCTAGCCAAAACAGCATCATCCACTCACAGGAGAAGAAAGTATCAGTGAGGTTGGGAGAGTCCCAAAGTTTTCAGATGTATTTTTTTTAAATGACTTCAACCCTGGAAGGAGGGGAGGGAACTCCCAAAGCAGCCACGTGGACACAGAGCAGAGAGATGATAGTGACTGACCGGGATGAAAAGGATCAGGGAGGAGGAATGGCATGGAGTTCTTCTATGCAGGAGGGCCTGGCTGGCTGACCAGATGGCAGAACATTGCCTTCTGCAACATGCTGTAATGAAGCTGTTGGAGTTTTTATCAACCTTGCAGGCTGCTTGGAGAAGGTGCAGCTGGGAGGGAAGTTTGTGGTCTGAGGGAATTGACAACCTGTCCAGCCCCAGCTGATCATTCCTGCCTGTCTCTGAATTCAAAGAGGACCCCACCTCTCTACAGAGCTTTCCTTTCCTCGCTTGAGTCCGTTGAGGCCTGTTGCTGAGAGCAGTCATGTTCTGTCACTTTGCTGTTTTTGATCTGTTTAATTGTAAGCAATGAAAAACTTTTATTTCTTCTTACAATATCTCAGGGCGAATTATTGAGACTGTAAGTGCCGACAATGAGAAAAAGAGTGGACTGCTCTGGGAAGGGGGGGAAGTGGAAACTATTCTGTTCTGCTTCTGCTGCACAGCTAGAGGAATTTAACAAAAAAAAATCCAAAACTCTGCAAACGCTGTTTGGGTATGAAGTATTTGAACAAGGACTGGGAAGATGAAGGTCCAAGGCTCTGCTCCGCCATGACAAGTCGCTGGTTGACCTTCTCACTGTCTCTCATCCTATCTTACTTGGAAGGGGTGGGGGGTTGTGATGATTAAAAGGGTGGAGGACCATGTCTGCTGCCTTGAATGCCTTAAAGAAAGAGTGGGATACATGGGCCATACATGGATGTGATGCCCGCTCTTGATACCAAATAGCAGTTTGGTGGAAATGACAGCTGCTCTTTTATTTAGTATGTTTATATTCTGCCTTTTCTCCAAGGAGCCTACACGACCCTCCTCCAGACTTTTATCCCCACCACAGCCCTGAAGGGTAGGTCGGGATAAGAGAGGATGAGCGACGAGCCCAAGCTCACCCAGTTAGTTTCATAGCTGAGCCAAGATTTGAACCCGAGTCTCCTAGTGCTCCCAAACCAGTGACCTGACCACCGGCTCTCATGCATTAAAAAAAAAAATCTAAAATCATTAACCCTCTTGCGATCGCTGTTGTTCTTGTCTTCTCCCCAGGTGTCCGCTATAGCCAAACGGGGAGCAACGAAGTCCCTTCTTCCTCCGCTATTAGCCATCACGGCAACAACTCCATGGTGACTACTAGCCAGGCTGTCCTCCAGCAAGTCTCTCCGGCCAGTTTGGACCCCAGCCACAGCCTGCTCTCACCGGATGGTAAAATGGTGAGTCCACACCTGTCCTGCCGTCGCTCAGGTGCCGATAAGATAAGGCAGGGAAAACAAACATGACGTCTTTTTTTTCCCCTGCTATTTTTCTCTCCCTCTTTCTTTTTCTGCCCAAGATCTGCATGAAACAATGAAGCATTTGTTAGGGCAGGAGAGAAAAAACCCCAAGCGTAAATGCCGGTGCTCTGACCCTACCTTTCCCTGGCCTCGGCCAAACCAGCAGGTAGTAGCGTAGGCTTTCAGACACGCCAATAAATGTGACACAGGGCCATTCTCAGTGTATTGATTGAACACCCTCCGAAATGGGACCGACGGGGAGGATTGCTGTTTGCTCTTTGCAGGCCAATAACATTCCGACTGATTTAAAAAAAAAAAACGCCCTCCCTAATTCACCCTCGGCTTCACAATGTTTTATATTTCTTTCAGCAAGATTTTTGGATTCCTTGTTAGTTGGGGTGGGGGAAATCTACGTTCAAAACTACATGGCATGGTATCTTTGCCTGCATACGAGTGTTCCTCCCTCCTAGAGTAGACCCACTGAATCAACAGGACTTACATAACTTACTGAATCAGTCCTATTTACAGCAAGTCAGAATCTCAAAAGACCATTTTCAGAAAGTAAAGAATTACTTGCTTCTGACCTTCTCTTTTTGGGAAGTAACTCACTAATATTACTCATTCCTTGTTAGAAAAGTGGAGTGTGAATGATTTATGACCTTTTAGTTTATTTTGTTATTTTCCAATTTCTTGTTAGTTGTTGTTGTTTAGTCATTAAGTTGTGTCTGACTCTTTGTGACCCCATGGACCAGAGCACGCCAGGCCCTCCTGTCTTCCACTGCCTCCCAGAGTTGGGTCAAATTCATGTTGGTCGCTTCGATGACCCTGTCCAACCAACTCGTCTTCCATCGTCCCCTTCTCCTCTTGCCTTCATACTTTCCCAACATCAGGGTCTTTTCCGGGGAGTCCTCTCTTCTCATGAGATGGTGTTTGTTGTGTGCACTTATTTCAAGAAGGAGAGATATATCTTTAACGAGGAGGGAAGTGCTTGCAAGAAAAGCCAGAATCCTATTGGAGAGAGACAAAAGTACAGTTACAAAAATTGTGGTGGCAAATTGATACTAATTGCCACACTAGGGGCACTCGTTCCTTTTGTTGTGTGACTGGCACTCGAGGAGGAATACAAATGTGTGGATTAACAGCAACTCGCCCACCATAATTTATGCAACTACATTTACGGAGGCTCGTGACGCAGCGCTTGCGGTTAAGACGCTGCTCACAACCTGAGTTCCATTGTGATGGGTTTAGGTACGCGGCGCAAGGTTGACTCAGTGGGGTCGGCTTCTTTCCCGGTCAGGAGACTTACCTTCTCTGTCCTTCCTTATTAATTCATATTTCTTGTCCTTGTCCTTATCGCTTTGCTCAGACGTGTTGGTACGTCCGCTCCGGCTTTTTATAAATGGCTCGTTGTCCTGAGCGCTGAGCCCAGCTGACCTGCCTTTTAAGGAATGTCTCCTCTTTTGGTCTGAGGATAAAAGGAAAGGCTTTGCGTGCAGGAGAAAGTGTTTATTCTCCCTGTGATCTGCATAAGGCCGGAAGTATTCATAGTTTCTTTACGTGAGTAGCTTTCAGGACTGGCCCAAAATGTTTTCTTGCCTGAGGTGGGAAAACCAGGTCAAGGTGCGCCATACCTATTGCCGGCTGAGCTGTTGTGACTCAGGAGTCAAAAATACTCCAAACGCCCCTTCTCAGGCAGCAAAAACATAGTAATAACAAATTAAATAAGTAATGATTAATGGAATGACTAACCGTTTGCCGGTCTTCTGCGACACTGCGGTCGGAGCGAGCTGCTCCGCTCTGCCGAACGATAGGGCCGGTGGTAGATTTTCTTGTGTGTTTCTAGTGGAGACGATGGCCCCTGAAAACCTCGTCGGACGTTGCTTGGGGGGGAAGAGTTCAGGCGGCTACAGGGCTCTTGACCCAGGTCTCTGAATGGACCACAAGGCTACTGAGGGCTGCCCCTGGGATGACGATGGGTTTTTTTCTTATCTTTTTTATATACATTCGAAATATATCAATATATATTCTCTGTGAAGAGGCTACCAGTAGGCATCCTCTGATGAGTATCAGGTGGTTGTTCATGGAATTACTCAGTGCATGGAAAAGTTCCTCCTTTTTTTGGAACTGCAGTTCACAAAATTCCAGAGCCAGTGTGGTTAGGGACTTTACTTGACTGGGAGATTCTAGGAGCCCTGGTCCAAAAAACTCCCCCGACTTTCCTAAAGTGTGTTTGCCTCCCTCAATGGTGCGGCATCATGGCAGGGCACAGTAGGCAATTCAAGTGGGAGAAAGCCACCCGGGGCCAAAAAAGGAGCCTCAACGCAGCCGGGTTGGCAACAAGCCTCCCTTAGATCCCTCACCATGGACAGACATCTCCGAAAGACAGCTAGAACTTATGTTACTGATTTCTCTCTCAGTGTGTGTCGAAATGAGCGTATTGCCTGCGCTCTCGGTGTGACCCGCAAGCGGGCCCATTTCCTGGGTGCATTCAATAGGCCCGTCAGGACAAAGAGCAGGGCCGCAGTGCAGGGCTGGCCTTACCGTTGGGCGGAGTGAGGCAGCCACCTTTGGCTTCAGAAGCGGAGCCTCACGATAAAGCAGCAACTCCTTCGTTCTTTAATTTGATGCTGCTGGAAGGTTCAGCAGTGGGGCTGCCGGAGAAGGGGAGAGCCCCCCTCGATGGATTTCCGTCTTCCTGGATGCCCACAATAAGTCAGCGGTCAATGCCATGTACCTTTCAGTGGGGCCTGGAGGCCTTTGCCATTTCTTGAGACGGCCGGACCGATCACGCTTGCCCCCGGAAGCAGGCATTGGTGATAACAGCTTGAAAGCGGTCCGGTCTGGGGTCTTCCCCTCTTGACCCCTTTGTTACTCAGTTCTGGGTACAGTTCTTCCCACTGCCAAGCTTCAGAGGCAGAAGAGGGAGAATATTCCAGAAATGCCTCTTGTGGGGTTATTTTTCTTGGCCTGGCTTGACTGATTCATGTCACGCTGAGTGATTTTTATGGCCTCTCGCTTTGCCTTGGCATGGGTGCCTAGCTCTCGTCTGAGACAGCCGGGCGTTCCATCCAGAAAGCCATTTTCCGACCACCTCACAGTCATGACCACGTGGCGGGGCTTAAGAAAACAGATTCTCAGGGAACTATTTTCCCACCACTGCCAAAGGCACCTTTTTGAAAGGGCCTCCTTTTGACGGGAAAAGCATCTGTAGAAAATTTCGAGGAAGTTAGAAGGATTTTGAGACAAGGTTAGCCAAATCGCTCAGGGGTGGAAGGAAATAAAAGCCTTCAAAAGTGCTAGCCGGGGTTTCACCTAGCACCAAATCTGAGGCAAATTTAGAAAGACTTGTTCAAACCACGTGATTTAATGCCAACCAGAGTAGACCCACTGAAACAGTGGAATTTACTCAAGTGTTGGCGAACCATGTTCTCACTGATTTAATGGGGAGTAGACCCACTGAATCAGTGGAATTTACTCAAGTGCTGGCTAACCATGTTCTCACTGATTTAATGGATCTTTCCTAGGTCTGGTGAACAGTTTGATTCACAATATTCTGGCTTCGAGAAGCGAGGGAAGCTAAATGTGTTTTTGACAAAGGCAGAGTGTTGCTGAACTTGATGTGCAATCCTACTATATGGATAGTAAAATATATATTTACTTTGCCTTTATTTTCATGGGACTCCTGATTCCCAGGGAGACAAATATCCTGCAAAATGTTTGCAGCATTAAAATCTGGCATTAACCAAGCCCACGGCCACACATATAGTTGGTTTCTTCCTACAAATGTGGGCAAGTGGAGCCGTCTAAACCAACAAACAGAAAGAACACCGGCATTGGAAGCGAAATGCAAGATCAGTCGTGAATTCTACTGACAAATTATCTATTCTTCCTTTTCTTGACAGATTACGGTTTCGGGAGGCGGGCTCCCCCCAGTCAGCACTCTCACTAATATCCACAGCTTCTCTCATCATAATGCACAGCAATCGCAAAACCTCATCATGACACCATTGTCGGGAGTCATGGCTATCACGCAAAGTAAGTGCTCTCCTCTTAACACTTTCAATTCATTCTTCTGCCATCTCTCTTTCTCTCTCTCTATTTGGTGCTCTCCTCTTAACACTTTCAATTCATTTTTCTGCCATCTCTCTCTCTATCTGTTCCTTCTTTCCTTCCCCTTCCCTCCCTCCCCTCCATTCCTTCCTTCCTTCCTTCCTTCCTTCCTTCCCCCGTTCCTTCCTCCCTCCCTTCCTTCCCCGTTCCTTCCTTCCCCTGTTCCTTCCCCTGTTCCTTCCCCTGTTCCTTCCTTCCCCTGTTCCTTCCTTCCCCTGTTCCTTCCTTCCCCTGTTCCTTCCTTCCCCTGTTCCTTCCTTCCCCTGTTCCTTCCTTCCCCTGTTCCTTCCTTCCCCTGTTCCTTCCTTCCCCTGTTCCTTCCTTCCCCTGTTCCTTCCTTCCCCTGTTCCTTCCTTCCCCTGTTCCTTCCTTCCCCTGTTCCTTCCTTCCCCTGTTCCTTCCTTCCCCTGTTCCTTCTCTCACACAATAAGTATGCAATTGCTGAAGAGAACAAGCTGTGGTAGCCAGGATTTCTGGGAGGTCTATTCCAAGAACATCTGGGGACTCCAAGGCCCAAGGGATTGGAGCAATGGCTTCTTAGGAGAAAAAAAAATAGACTTTCAGCTGGAATTGGAGGGATGTAAGAAAAGGGCCAAGGAACTGGCCCAACATTCCCACCTTCTCTTACCCTGCAGGCAACCCCGAAAGGCCAATGCTGGGCCAAAGGGGGCAGAGGGGCAAATGGGAGTCCTTGGAAAAGAAGCTGCAGTTTCCTAATGTTCTCCCACTGAAAGCTTCGGAGGCAGTATCGAAAGGAGATCAACCTTTCTTTCTTCCTTCCTTTTTTTTTTTAAACGAAAGGGAACTTTCTCCCACATCAGAGCCCAGAGGTTTTCCAAATGAAAGCTACAACCTTTATCTCAGTGCCTAGTTTGGGCAAGGGTGGAGGGATATCAATAAAAGAAATTATGAGGGTGACAGGTGAAGACCTTTTTAATCCTATAAAGGAAGGTGAGGATCCTCAGCCTTTCGGACGTGCTGCCTCCCAAAGTCACTGGCCGCTGACCGGCTTGTCTAGGCCTTCCAGGAGTTGAGGTCCACATCCAGAACATCTGGGCGGCTGCTGTTCTCCCACCTCTGCTCTGAAGTTCTTTGCTGTGGTTTGGGCTTGTTATTCTTTTTTTTTTTAAATTATTTCCTGTTATTTGTTGTCAATTGAGTTCCCAGAAACTGTACATTGC